TAGTTGCAGAGCTTTCTAGTTGCCGTATGTGGGACGCGGCCTCAGCGTAGCCGGAGAAGCGGTGCGTCGGTGTGCGCCCGGGATCCGAACCCGGGCCGCCAGCATCAGAGAGCACGCACTTAACCGCTAAGCCACAGGGCCGGCCCTATACAGTTTCTTAAAGCAAAGTATTCTATATGCTGCTAGTAAAGATATAAATTTTTATTTTTATTGTCTTTTTTGTTTTAAAATAAGTGTATACATAGGTTACAGATAAACTCTACTTATGTGTGGCCTTAGAGTCTCTGCTATCATTTAAAGAAAAGTGGGGGAGCAGGTGGGAGGAAGGTTTAGTTGGCTGATAATATTTTATAATCTTTGAAATTCTTAGTGATCCCACTTTCCTCATGAAAAGTTTTCATTTGTCTCAGATTTATGTAGATATATCTATAGTGATTATATAATTTTATATAATTAATAATTATATAGTTAATTTTTTAGGAACAGCTTATTAAGATGAGGAAAGGTGCTATCTATACTTTATAGCTATGACAGTAAAGGCAGAAAGTATGCCCAAGTGTGCTAAGTCCTACCAGAACTTTCTATACCATAATACTTGAAGAAAATTTTTGAATATTTCTGAAATATTTTTGAATATTTCAAAATATTGTTTGTAGGTTTCAGATTCCTAAGAGTTGGAATTAATTGTACAAATGCATATACGTGTAATATGTGAACAAAATGCGAGATATTTTTGACTATTTTGTTAGGTTATGAGCTTAAGCTTGTTCCTTTAATTCTTGCTTTATATTCATATCGTGCTAGTCCTTTGCTTATTTTGCACATTTGCGTTTTCATTCTTTTACCACCTTTCCCTTATGTTTTAATCCTGCCCCATTTTTTCACATGACAGGAAAAAGCCCGATCATATCAGGTACCAAATGGCTCCCTTCCCCTCCGCCCTACCTTACACCAGTTTCCTCTTTGGCACGAGAAAGCTCATAATTAACCTGCATATCAGTTGGATTACTTGCAATGGATATAAAGTCTCTTATGTTTTAAATTGGGAAGACAATAGAAATACCTTATTTGAGGAATGGAATTATAGCTTTTCATTGCCTATCTCCTCAATTTGTTTTAATCTGGAAAAGAACATTTGATATGTTTATAGTTATACAAAGAAAATACAGATTGAGTAATATGACTACCTTTATATCTTTTTTTTTTTTTAAGGCACATAAGCTAGTAAAGGCTCTTAAAAACTTTCAACAGTAGCTAGGAGTTAGTCCCTTTGGTAATAACCATATTAGTTATGTTGAGAAAGGAAACATTGTCAATTCCTAGATTTTTTTTTGCCATTTTGGTCTTTTTCCCTCTGAAAAATTAAATTGAATTTGAAATAAAGGAGCATACATGTTCAAGCTTTTAATTTTGTTAAATGTTTACCTATTTGACACCTATAAGAATGTGTGCACAAATCCATCATCTGTATAGGTTTAGTGATAAAATTTCTATGTATTTAGAAGTTTGACTTTTACCCATGTTCTTTATATCAAGTACAGTTCTGGGACTAGTGATCAAATATGGTAAAAGATATTTGATTTCTTTTTTTATAGATTTTTTCCTTCCCTCCCCCAAATTTTGTCATCTACAAGCTCTCATTGATATTTAAAAATTAATAATATGTAATTGTTTATGAATTTAATATTTTGGTCTAAAATCTTTATCATATTGAGTTATTTCAATTTGCGATAGAGTGGTGTTTTATTTTTCTTAATGAATGAAGGAATTTCCTTTTTGAAAAAACTCTTATATTTTGGCTTTGTGATCAGTTTCTGAATCTTGCGAATATAGTATAGTTGTCAGCACAATGCTTTCCAAAGTTTGTCTTTTTTATTATTTAATTATCCTTTTAAGTATCTTCAAATTGCAGGTAGCATGAGCTTAAATTATTAGGTATTATTTCTATGTTCCATGGTCTATGAACGATCTCATTTTTTTGTTTATTAGAAATATTGTTAAAAACTAGGATTATCTGTAGAAGCAATTAGAAATTATATTCCTTTTTACTTACTTACCTGATTAAAGTCTTGATCAATCTAAATGAGTAAGTTAGCTCTTTTTTCTTTTTTTTTAATGACAGAGGAGGGAAGATAGTGTCATAAGACATACAGATCTTAGTAATTGAAATTGAAAATTTTTTTCTACGTCGAATACATCATGATTTTTTTCCTTAGGAGGCGTTGTCAAATTAAGATGAATGTATAGTATCTTTCCTGAGTGTTCAAAAACTGATGATGTGAGAAAGTCACCCAGAAGCAGATAGATGGCAGGGGAACTGGGTTTCAGAAATGTAAATGATCTGTAAAGTTAATAATCAGAGGAAATGGTCTCTGACAAAAAACGTAAGTTTTTATGTAGTATTTTATTATTATTTTTAGAGGCTGTTACCCTAAGATGCAGCAGGTCAAAAGAAATTTATTTTTTGAAAACCTCAGAAGCATGAAAAGTTTACATGGTTACGTGGGTGTTTTTCCATTGTGCAGTAAAACTCTTTGTAGTTTTTCATCAAATTATATAATGATTACTGTAAAACATAAGAATTTTTATTAATGTAGTTCACCCTACTTAAAATGATTTTTTAAAAAACACTTTAATCAATATCAGAGATTGTTTCCATTGCATGTCATCCCATGTGGCAGGGCTGCACCATTTTGTTTGTTTGTAGGTATTTCCTTTAACATTTCTAACCAACTATGTGTCCCAAAGCAAAGAAACCCAGAAGTTCTTCCTTTTCTAGCCTGCCTCTTGATGGTTTGCATTTAGAGGCAACCCACTTGGTTTTATGTAGATGCTTATTTAACAAATCTCTATTTTAATGGTAAAGGTGATACTTTTTTAAGTAGCGAGAAAACCTAACAATCTGTCTAGTTTAAAAGTAGGAAAGCATCTAATCATTTTCTCAGCTTTGGAGAATTAACTTAAATTTTTAAAATAGAAATTCTAAATATGTCTAAATACAATTTCTAGTGCTTTGTATTAGTATCAATGAAAAGGTAGAATCTCTATCTGCTAATAGATTAATAACTAATGTTTATAATAGGAATCATTTCACATGAAACTAATTTTAAAATAATGACTCAAATATTGTTTTACCTTTCATGCTTGATGAGAATTTTTGCTTTCTTTTATGAATGGCTTTTGGCTGTGATTTTTTTTTTTTAATAAGTCTTTAGGTCCTTTTACTGTTCTAATTAATTAGAATGAATGAATATGTCATACCTAGCTTAGCTTTTTCTAAAGAAGATTGCAAGTAAATTGTTTGCCTAATAATTTACAGTAAAGAGCAGAATAATATAAATAGTTGGGTGAATCATTTTTAATTAACTTTGATTATTCTGCTTAGAAGTATTTTGTGTGCAAGTAAGGCCAAGTGAATTGGCAGTTATCTCCTGTTTGATATCAGTTCTAAAATGATGATTTAATTTCCCGTTTTGCTTAACAAATCAATGCTTGCTGAATTAGCCGCAGAAAGGTTGAAAACAAGGCACCATTTATTTCAGTGTTTTACCGTATACAAATGGATAGTCTTATTTACAATATAAATTTATTTCTACTTTATAATAAAAGCAGTTATTTCAGGGGAAGGATTTTAGTTATTTTTGAAGAAGGTCAAAAAACTAAGTTTTTACTTTAAAACAATTATTATTTGGTGATAGCCTAAAGGATAATAGCTTTTGTTAGGATACAAATTTCTGATATAAAATGAATCAAAATATTTCCTAATCTGTGATTTTAAAATTGTTCTTTACTTTCAGTAGTTACCTCATTGACATCAGTTTATATAAAGCAAAACAAAACAGTGCACTTCTCAAAACATAATTATCATAAACTGACTTTTTAGTGCTTTCCCAAATATTTCATTTCTAACAACAACTGAAATAAATTGTTTGTGAAAACTTAATCTACTTTGTGTTTATTTAGACGCTGGTTTTCAATACAGAACAATCAGTTGGTTTACCAGAAAAAGTTTAAGGTAGGTGTTTTGTTAAGTAATGAAGTGAAAACCCACTGAGTCCCCGTTTCAGTTCTTTATCTGCTTGTCTTGATAAAACATTGAAGTCCATAAACACTCATGTGTGGAAAATTATCATTTACGTATTAGTTTCATGTTTGGGCATGTATAAGAGGACTCAAAAGTGGAAAGTATCAACATATGATCATTTTTTTTTTTTTTAAAGATTTTGTTTATTTATTGTTTTCCCCCCAAAGCCCCAGTAGATTGTTGCGTGTCATAGCTGCACATCCTTCTAGTTGCTGTATGTGGGACGCGGCCTCAGCATGGCCGGAGAAGTGGTGCGTTGGTGTGCGCCCGGGGATCTGAACGCGGGCCGCCAGCAGCGGAGTGCGTGCACTCAACCGCTAAGCCACGGGGCCAGCCCACAACATATGATCATTAAAAGCAGAGTAATTGTGAATCCTGAATTCTTAATTCGTAGCTTTGAAGTAGACTTTTCTGAGCCCAGGATTATTATTTTCATTTCTTCATATGTTTCTTTGTTTAACTGTGTGTGACAGGAATAACAATACCACTCCCTATGTAGTACTGTTTTGAGGATGAAGGAAAGGGTACCTTTTAAGAAATATCACCTTAGGGCCAAAGGTGATAATATAGAAGGGTTAAAAATGACATTAAAATGTAAGATTGAAGTAATTTAAATAGCAACCTCTAAATTTGTTAAAATTGTTTTTATATTTTTGTTTTGCTGAACATTATTTTAAGGGCGAGGAATTTTTATTTATTGGAAAGGCATACTAAGATTACATGTGACTTGAGAATATTAAAAATAATTAGAAGAAAAGAACCACTGATTAATTGATAACTCGATTTTTACCTAGTAAGCTTCTATGAATGATTATTCAACTGTAAATTTTAAATATTCACTTTACCCCTGAGATGACACAATATGAAATTTTACTTGCTAGGTTCTGTGGTAGCAGGTTTATTCCATAAAAGTAGTTTATTATTATTATTATTATTTTTTTTTTTGGTGAGGAAGATTGGCCCTGAGCTAACATCTGTTGCCAGTTTTCCTCTCTTTCCTAAGGAAGATTGTCCCTGAGCTAACATCTGTGCCCATCTTCCTCTATTTTTTTTGTATGTGGGACACCACCACAGCGTGGCTTGATAAGCGGTGCATAGGTCCACGCCAAGGATCTGAACCTGCAAACCGCGGGCTGCCGAAGCATATCGCGCAAACCTAATCACCACGCCACCAGGCTGGCCCCACAAGTCATTTATTCTTACTAATTAGTTTATGGCTTCTTCTACTCTGATAATTTGGTTTTGAGTTTCTGTTTTTATTAAGTACTAGAAAATGATAAAACCTTTCTTGTTTTCTTAGGTATTTTAAGAAGGATATATAGGCTTTTTATTTTTCTTCCAATTTTTTAAAACTTGACTCAGTAAAGGCTTCCTTTTTGGAGGAACGTAGCTTTTATTATGTGTGAATGAGGACCAGGAGAGTAATGGATATGAGAGAAAATTAACATGAAACTAACATTTGTTGCACACTTACTATTTAATTGCCAAGTGTTGGACTAAGCTTTTTATGAAAGCTATTTCATTTAATCCTTATACAGGAATTTTATGAGGCAAATAAAATTATTAACAGGACAGAATTACCTTTATTAGTTATATCTATGTTGATAACTTCTATCTCTAATCTAAAATAAGATAAAATATAAATCTTTAAAATTAGACCATTTATTCCAAGTAATATTTTTAAGTATGTTATTGTTGGCGGTAGTATTTAAAACCTAGGTTGAAAACATGAGAGTTTTGTTTCCTTGTTATAGGATAACCCTACTGTGGTAGTGGAAGACCTAAGGCTCTGCACAGTGAAACATTGTGAAGACATAGAACGACGATTCTGCTTTGAGGTGGTCTCTCCAACAAAGTGAGCGGTTCTAAAGAATTTGAGAGTGGCTTTTATGTTCTATAATATGTCTTAAAGAAGTTTCCAGAGTAGAGAAAGATTTGTGTTTCACTTGTGAATATCTGTGCTAAAGAGGAAAAAAGTATTTTAAAAGTAAATTTCATTAATTAATGATTATAGGTATTACAGTCAGATATTTATGTAATTTCTACCCAGTATCATATTCTTTAAATTCCATAAAGATCATTGATGTGGCCATATGAAAACTTGTTAGCTTTCATGATGATGAACTGAAGTCATACATCAGATCAATTTCTTTGATATTTATCATTTCATATTTCTACCCAATAGAAAAAATTAGTGTTATGTTTATATGGTAAATTTAAAGTTTGTTTTTTTAAATGTGCAGGAATGGGTGATTTCTTTTCAATAGGTAACTTGTTTCATTGGTACCTTGATTTCCTGATGAGCATACTCTGTCCTAAAGATAGGTGAAATAAAACCTTTCAACAGAAATTATTATTTTTTGTTAGAAAATTACTAAATAGCAAAATGGACAAAAAAGTAAACCTTATTAGTATTATTTTTTGAGTTAATTTTGTATCTGAAAAAACAATGTTATTTCCTTTTAGAAGTTGTATGCTTCAGGCAGATTCTGAAAAGCTGCGCCAGGCATGGATTAAAGCTGTTCAGACCAGTATTGCTACTGCTTATAGAGAGAAAGGTGATGAATCAGAGGTTAGTAAACAATACTGCAATACCAAATGGTATATTGCCAAAGTTTTTTAGTTGCAACTTTGTATAATTATAACATTCTTTTTTGAATTGAGATATAATTGACATATAACTTTATATTAGTTTCAGGTATACTGCATAATAATTTGATATTTGTATACGCTAGGAAGTGATCACCACAATAAGTCTAGTTACCATCTGTCACCATATGTAGTTACAAAAACTTTTTTTCTTGTAATGAGACCTTTTAAGATTTACTCTCTTAGCAACTTTCAAATATGCCATACAGTATTATTAGCTGTAATCACCATGCGGTACATTACATCCTCATGACTTACTTATTTTATAACTGGGAGTTTATACCTTTTGACCCCCATGACCTATAACATTCTTTTTTATGGAGGATGATGTTTTGTAATTGAAATGGGTTTTATTTTAAAAATCTAGATTCAATTTCTTTTTTGTTTATTTCTCTTGACTTTACCTATCATTTTATTTCAGTATTTCAGTATATGTTTAATTCAATATTTGAATATATATCCCAAATTGACAAAGTATTCTGATTTATTTTTCCCACCATATTTTATTATTTTAATTAACATTTTAATGAATAATATTTTAATTAATAGTAAAATAATGAATGTGAAAAGTATTTAAAATTAAAACTGGGTAAAAAGCAAAAAAAAGGAAAGCTCAAATTGTCTCTTAGTTGACATTTCCCTGGAGAAGATAAGCTGGATATGGAGTCGTGGGTCATAGTCTGGCTTCAGCTTCCCAATGAGTTTACAAACTTTTTTGAGCAAGGCCATGAGTGAGTCTTGAGAAATGGAACTCACCACTTCCTCCAGTGGCTTCCTGAAGACGAGGCATCTGTGAGTCCCTGCATGTCTGAAAATGTCTTTATTGTATCCTCACATTTGTTTGATAGTTTGGTTGGGTATGGAATTTTTAGCTTGGGAATAGTAATACTTAAGAATTTTAACAGCATTGTTTTTCTAGTTTGCAGCAGTGTTGTCGGAGTCTTTCTTATTACTGATCTTTTGTATTCTTCCTCTTCAGTTTCCCTGGTTTCTTTTTCTGGAATTTCTAGACTGGTCTTAATGATTTTCTTATTTCTTGTATGCTCTGTTTTCTGGGAGATTTTTCTCAGTTAATCTTCCAAACCTTCTTTTGAATATTTCAGTTCTAGCACATATTTAATTTCCAAGAGTTCCTTTTTGTTTGCTGAATGTTTGTACATGTAAATCTGTTCTTTTTTCATGGATGCAACGTTAGAGCTGTGGTTCTTAACCTTGACTGCACATTATGATAACACAAGGAGCTTTAAAAAATCCCAGTGCTTAGGTCCCACCCCAGAACAGTTGAATGGAGTTGGGACCCAGGCATCAATATTTTAAAAGCTTCCTAGGTGGTTTCTGGGTACAGGCAATGTTGAGAACCATTGCATTAAGAGGCTTTCCTTGGCTATCTGGTAATCTGATCGTGATCACCAACAAGTTACGGACTAAAAACCTCTTTGGAAGCTCTGAGAACATAGGACTTTGTCGACTTTGAGCTTCGCTGAAGTCTAGACCATTTGTTGAGGAACAACCAGAGTTAGGATCTTTGGAGTCTTTTCAGCTGGTATGATTCCCCAGAGAAGACTCACCAATCTACTGCATAGGGGTAAGGGGCTGGCTGGGAGCTAATTGCTGGGGCCCTCAGCATTCAGTGTGTATATGTCCATATAATCCTCTGCCTTCCACCTTTCAGGTAAACCCCATCCAGAGACTCTCTGTTTTTCTGCTCCAGAGAATAAGCTTCCAGTCATTTGTGTTTATATGTAGAGAGTAGTTCCCTATGGTATGGAGCTGGGCAGGAGACCTTGAGATCTAACTTCTTAAACAGTCGTTCTCCTACTTTTACCCCCACTTCCAGGGTTGACTGGTATAAATCCTTGAGCCCTTTGAGTATTATGTGATGTAAATGGATGATCTCTTAGATTTTTCTTAATACCATCCTTAGATTTGGCCTTGGTCTGCTCAGTTACCATTTATCCAGCCATTTTCCGGCTCCCAAAATTTTGTTGCTCTTATTTTCTTTCCTGTTCTCCCTATTCTTGTGGGTAAATGTCTTTATTTTTTTTTAATTAAAAAAATGCTAAAGTTTTCTAAAGTAAGTTATAGATATCATGTCATTCTATACCTAATAGTAATTTCTTAATATCATCTATCACCCAGTCTATATTCAGATGTCCCCAGTTGTCCTAAAAATGTCTTTTGCAACCTATTATACAAAGTAGGATATTATCTGTGACTAGGCCTTGCATCTGGTTATGTCCTCCAAGTCTTTCAATCTAGAACAATCCCTTTTTTTCATGACAATGACTTGCTGAAGAGATTAGTTGTTCCTATAGAATTCCATTCATCTCATAAGATTACATCATAGGTGATGTATATACTTGATGTTGCAACAGGAGACCCACAATACTTGGTTTTCCAACCATTGCTAATGCTAAGGTCCAGGCTTCTGCATGAAGATAAAGTGGACACAGTGGGTTAGGGAGATGACAGTATGATCCTTCCATTGTAAATTTACATTTCCTCCGTTGTTCCCTATCAACTTTGTTACTTTGTATAACAAATCTACTTTGTGTTACTTTGACCCCGTGAGATCTACTCCCCCATCAACCATTCATCTAATGGTTTTATAACTGAATTTGTGATTTCTTTAGGAGTTGCAAAATGATTTTCTAATTCTGTCGTCCCATCTGCATTTATTAACTTGGATTCTAATGTGAAATATAGCTTTTCTTCATCAACTGGAGCTAAGTTACTGTAATAAAATGCTTATTTTTTGCTTGTAATTACCACATTTGGTTGATTTATTAGCTACCTTAAGTGGGGACAGATATCTGTTTCTTTGGGTATCATTATAAACTCATGGATTTTTGTAAATACGGGGGTCCCAATTAATTGCAATAATTAGGGCCGGCCCTGTGGCTTAGCGGTTAAGTGCGCGCGCTCGGCGGCTGGTGGCCCAGGCTCGGATCCCGGGCGTGCACTGACGTGCCGCTTCTCCGGCCATGCTGAGGCCACGTCCCACATATAGCAACTAGAAGGATGTGCAGCTATGACATACAACTATCTACTGGGCTTTGGGGAAAAAAAAATAAATAAAATTAAAAAAAATTAATTGCAATAATTACTCTTTTTCATGTTCAAATTATCACAACTTTGTCCATTAAGGACACTGGGTAATGCCTCTTAACAAATCCTCTAGTTTTAAGCAGAGTTTTGAGAGGGAGCAAAATCAGGTGTGTATCCAGATCATCTTGATGAAGAAGCTGATGGCATTGCTGAAATACCTGGGTTCTACAAAATCATACACTAGAAATAATGGGGATTATGGGACAAATAGGGATAGGGCCGACCTAAAAACCTGTTTAAATTTGTAACTAGAATACTTGCAGGAACTTTAGAATCTCAATAAAAATACTAGCATAGTTAAATTCCTAATAAATGAATATATAGATAGGACTTAACTTTAATAATTGGTGAACATAGCTTAATGGAAGGGTCAGAAGGGTTGAGGCTACTCACTAATGGTGACAAAGGCAAAATACTTCAAGATCAGGGAGAATAGTGCAATAAACACTTTCAAGTCAGAACACATGGCCAAAATGAGCCAAGAAAAAGAATGGGGGGGATGGGTGTCATGTTCAGTCCTGTGTTCTTTGAGGTGGCTAACCCAAGTTCTGCTTTGTTAGTGTCCTTTGCTTTCCACTCTCTAGTTTGGTGCAAAAGCGATAGGTTATAGAGAAAAACTGGGAATGAACCAACATGATTTCTCTGTTATATTGACATCCTTTCCCTGTATGATAATTGCTTATGAGCTAATTTGTATAATTGAACATGTTCTAGTAAAACAGATTGTATCTCTTTTTTTAAATTTTGAAATAATCTCAAACTCACAGAGAAGTTCCCAGTATAGTACAAATGGCTTTTTCCTCCCAAACTATTTCAGAGTCAGTTCCTAACATGATGTCCATCACCCAAAGTAATAATCTTTAGTGAATACTTCCCACAACCTAGGACATTCTCCTATGTAATCACACTATAGCCATCAGAATCAAGAATGAGCACTGATACATTATTACCATTTAATTCCCAAACATCGAGTTGTCCCGGTAATGTTCTTTTTTTTTTTTTTTTTTTTAAAGATTTTATTTATTTATTCCCCCCCCCAAAGCCCTAGCAGATAGTTGTATGTCATAGCTGTACATCCTTCTAGTTGCTGTATGTGGGACACGGCCTCAGCATGGCCGGAGAAGTGGTGCGTCGGTGCACGCCTGGGATCCGAACCCGGGCCGCTAGCAGCGGAACGCACGCACTTAACTGCTAAGCCACGGGGCCGGCCCCGGTAATGTTCTTTATTAGCAAAAAGATCCAGTCCAGAAGCACAGGTAGCATTTAGCTATCTTAACTCTCTGACCTTCTTGACCTTGATAGTTTTGAAGATTATAGACTAGGTATTTTGTAAAATGTCCCTCCCTGTGGGTTTGTCTGACATTTAGTCACGAGGTTATGCATCTTTGGCAGGAATATTATATAAATGATGCTGTGTTCTTCTCACTGCATCCTCTCAGGTGTCACTTGATTTTGATTTGTCCCATTATTGGTGATGCTAACCTTGATCACTTGATTAAGGTGGTGTCTGCTAGACTTCTCTACTGTGTGGTTATCTTGGTAGGTAGTAGTTATTTCGGAGAGGTACTTTGAGACTATGTAAATATTCTGTTCCTCATCAAGCTTAAAATATTTTTAATGTAATTATGTCAGGACAGGCCCTTATTTTATTCAATGTTATAATCCGTTACTGTCATTATTTATTTTGTTGCTCAGATTGACCTAAGTTTGGCCAGTGGAGTTTTGGCTTCTGTATCCTTTTGACGTGCTCTCCTTAATCTTTGAGTTCTTCCTTAATTTATAGCATGATGAGATGTTCTGGGTTCGTCGTCTTACACTTTCTCTGTACCAGCTCTGAAATCAGCAATTTTTCCAAAGAGCCGTAGTCCCTTTTGGTAGAGAATGGTTTTTAGAAACCAAGATAAGGGAATATATATATGGATATACACATATATACATTTACGTCTATATTTCTTTGTATATCTGTATTGAAAACCATTAGTGTACATATTGGTATCTCCAGTTCTAATCTAATGCAATCAGGGTTTTTTCTAATTCTCTCCCTTTCCATATAAATAACTCCTTTCTCTACAGAGAGAAATCTGGCTCCCATTTATTTTTAACATATTTATTTATATGATCAGTACCCCCTTTATGTAACCAGTATCCTTTCTCTGCTGCCACTTGCCCCCTCACCCCACTCAGACTCTGACACCTTCTAGTTGTGGCCCTCCCACTCCACATTCCTCTCCCTTCTCAGGCTCTCACTTTCCTTGCTGGGCTCCCTCCCTATGCAGATACCCTCCTTATCCTGCTTGGGATTCAACAACCTGCATGGGGTTGCTCTCTGTTGAGGATATGCTCCTCACCTAGCTCAATCCTCTCTGGAAAATCATATCCCTACACTTTCTTTGCTTGGCCCCACCTAACAGCTGTTGAATTGAGTTTTCAGTAAGGATAAGGCAAGGGCCAAATTATATTTCTAATGACTCTATACTAAAATACTGCCTTGTTAAGGTTGAAATGTTTTTAAACCAGAAGACTTTTTAGATCATGTTTTTAATTGCTTAGGATCCCCAAACTGCATCCTCGTATTTGGTCATTATTGGTATAGACTTTGCTGTACACTTAAAAAATTAGCTTTTTTGCGGGGGGCAGGCCCGGTGGCGTAGCAGTTAAGTGCGCGCACTCTGCTTCGGTGGCCCGGGGTTCGCAGGTTCGGATCCCTGGGGTGCACCAATGCACTGCTCGTCAAGCCATGCTGTGGTGGCGTCTGTATAAAGTAGAGGAAGATGGGCACAGGTGTTAGCCCAGGGCCAATCTTCCTCAGCAAAAAGAGGAGGATTGGTGTCGGATGTTAGCTCAGGGCTGATCTTCCTCACACACACACAAAAAAATTAGCTTTTTACCTATCCGCCACCTTTTGCTTTTCTCCTGGTTTCCTAATAGCCTGTGAGATTTTAGACATTGTGCATTCTATTGTTGATAGACTCTATAATTATAATTATGTAATTGATCTGTTCTTTAGTAAAAGGCCATACCATTTCCAGGTGTTCACTGCAGTAATTGAAACAACTTGTTTGCAGGTCACTGAGTATCTTGGAAAAACTTGATATAAAATATTTATTTTATTCTTGAGTTTTAATAGTCTTGTGTTTACTCCCTCTGTCTCTCACCCTGCATGTTAAATTAGTATTCCCCTTCTCTTTGCCTTCATATCTTGTACATAGGTTCATTGTGTCAGTTATTTTATATATATATATACACACGCACACACAATTTTCAATGTTTGTATGTTTTTCCCCACAAAGCTAAAAGCCAATTGATGGAGGAATCTATATTTTTTTATCCTTGAATCTCTAATGCCTAGAACAATGTCTGGCTTAGGCCCATTATAGGCCTTCAATTTATTGATTGGAAGCTTTTGTTAGGAGCATGTAGTGTGCAGCATAGTATTACAATCTTTTTTTTTTTTTTTTAAACAAATAATTCTTAATTCTTTTAGAAGCTGGATAAGAAATCATCTCCATCCACAGGAAGCCTGGATTCTGGAAGTGAGTCAAAAGATAAATTATTGAAAGGAGAAAGTGCGCTGCAGCGAGTCCAGTGTATCCCTGGCAATGCCAGCTGTTGTGACTGTGGTCTGGCGGACCCACGGTGGGCCAGCATCAACCTGGGCATCACCCTGTGTATCGAGTGTTCTGGGATTCACCGGTGGGTAGGCCATCCTAGGGTGAGAGACTTCTTTTGGATAAACACACATTATAAATTAATCATGTCCCGTTGGTTTGAGAACCTTTTTCATTTGCCTAATTTGACTGCCAGTTTGTATCTTGGTACCTGTTGTAGAGTGGTTAAAATTCTGATTTGTGAAGTCTTTTGAGGACTTTGATTCACCATTCATTATAAACCAGAAGATCTATCCCTACTTATATATGTGTTGAGGCTATATTAGAGAATATGTCACGTTGAAAGAGAAAAATAATTTGTGTAATATGCAAATAGAGTAGAGGCTTGATAGTTTCATATATTAATGCAGTCTTTTTTTTCCTGCTTAGGAGTCTTGGAGTTCATTTTTCAAAAGTACGTTCTTTAACATTAGACACCTGGGAGCCTGAACTTTTAAAGGTAAAATAAATATTTGCTTAAAAATACTTCATATTTTCACCGAAAAAGTCAGGATTTAGAATCTTAGTTTACAAATGTATGAGTTTCTCAATGCTAACAATGAACTAAATTGTGTTGGAACATATCTGAGGCTGTTTTGGCAATTTGGTGTTTTCATATTGGGTTTTAAAAATTGCTAAGTTTGGGGCCAGACCAGTGGCGTAGCGGTTAACTGCAAACGCTCTGCTTTGGCAGCCCGGGGTTCGCAGGTTTGGATCCCCGGGCGCACACCAACGCACCGCTTGTCAAGCTGTGCTGTGGCGGTGTCCCATATAAAGTAGAGGAAGGTGAGCACGGATGTTAGCCCGGGGCCAATTTTCCTCAGCAAAAAAACAGGAGGATTGGCCTCGGATGTTAGCTCAGGGCTAATCTTCCTCACCTAAAAAAAAAAAAATTGCTAAGTTTATGTAATACTCTTAACTCCCAGTCAGTTCACTTATTAAGGAAACCATCGTTCCTACATTTTTATGTTTTCTCAAAAAATATTTTAGATTCTGTGCCTTAATTTTAATCTTTTATAATTATATAAATTCTTGTTAGAAATACGAGACATATTGCTATATGGTAAGCTCCATAATGGATTGGTTTCGCATGTTGTTATCATTGGGTTGTTTTAGCGTAGGACTGTTTGCGAATTTGTATTTGTCAGGGTAGTAATCATCAAACCAAGATACCCTTTTTCCCTGTGTAAGGATTCACGTGTATGAAAATGTCATAAATAATTTTAGATCACAACTGGATTTCTAATAAGATTTATAAAACTCTGAACAGTTAATAGGATACTCCTTTAATTCTAACTATTTAGTTTACTATATTGAAAAAAGTATTTTAGTTTAAAGGTTGTAGTGTTCTCTGCATTTGTTTCTGTCTGAAAATTGTGTTCTTAATGTGCTTATGTTTTTATTTCAAACCATAGATAAACTGGTAATCCTGTCTGTTGTGTAAAGTAAAAAATTTGCTTTGTGGAATTATTGTATAAATATCTAAATGAAAGTGATAAGTTGGCTCCTAAGGTAGAGCCCTATTTAGATAGCTTCTAGTAATTGTTATGAATTCAAATGAGAAGATGGAGTGGGGATTGAGGGGTAGAAATCTAATATCTGCCTCAACTTTGTGTGTGGATATGAACTCAGCAGATTCAATTTAGAAAACTTGGGCTGTGGGCCGGCCCTGTGGCTTGGTGGTTAAGTGCGCGCGCTGCGATGCTGGCGGCCCGGGTTC